CATAGTTTAACTGATAGCACCAGGCACACTTGAGTGACTTTAGATATATTATAAAGCACTGTGTTCTCTTCTGGGTTCTCTGGAGAAACAGACTGTATTTTAATGAGTCAGCTCCTCCATAATCATGGGGGTTTTATGCTGAGTAACTCAATCATGCTTGTACAAATCTCAATATGAAAAATTATACTCTAAATGTGGTAACAGTTACGCTTTTATTTTTCTTCCACTGGAGCACTGCAATAGTGACTGCCTTTGCTCTGACTCACAACACACTGTCTGATACCCATGCAACTCACACCACACAAGATTTAAGTAAAATGCCAAGCAAGACTTTCAATAGAAAAATGACACAGCTACTCTGCAAGGATCCCAAGGGCAGTTCAAGCACCATTAGCCCAAATCCTACCCCGGGATCAGAGAATCATAGAATGGTTAGGGTTGGAATCGGAATGAATGATACAGAGCTGCATGGACAGAACTCTTCCTCACCACATAACTTGGGGAGCAACAAAACCTCTTGTGGTGCTTGTGGCAGTGCGGGGGAAGAGCTGTTACAGGATGAGAGGTGACACACAGATGAGACCAAGATTGCAGATACAGATGAGACCGAGATTGCAGACACATAAAATTACTATCAGCAATGAGAGTACATCAACAGGATGGCAGGTGAGGTTAAGAACATCTTATCCATCTTGGCACAGGGCCCTCATGCTCCCAGGCCCTTCCAGCCCTGCAGGACCACTGGTTGCCACTCAGGATGCCCTGCAAGCTTGCTCTGTTCTCACACCCTGCTCCCCGTGTTCCCACAGACCCCTGTGTGAAATGGCATCCTTGTTCCTGAAAGGACAGAGCAGGTACTTGGGCACCAAACACCACATCAGTTTTTAGCACCTCGTAAAGCATGCTAAGGGAGCTCCCACATTTGTTACCTACTTCTATCCCTCTCCTTGTCCCCCACGTGTCTGTAGTTGTTAGCTAGTGGTTCTTGTATCCCTGAGGCTCCTATGACTACAGGAGCCCAGGAAAGCACTCCCACAGCGAAGAGGTAATCTGTGCTTCTCCTGGAATACTTGCTTGTGGTCTGCAAATTGCTAAAGGTTAAAAACACCATCTCAAGCAACAATTTATTGCTCCAGCTTCTGTGTAGAGAATATCAATGCTTCTTACATACTTTAACAGCTTCAGAACCTGCTACGTACAGGCACACTCTGCACCGAATTGCATATGCCTACATGGACATACCTTATGTTACACAGAACTAAAATGACTTACCCAAGGACTCAGGAAACGCAAGATGCAGGTGTGGAAACTGCATGTCCCCTGACTTAACCAGCAGACCAAAACATGAGCATCCCCTCTCTGGTGTTTTAAATAGGAATAGACGGTTTCGCTTCCTCTACGCAGCTGCAGTGAACCTCCTTAGTTTGGCAGTGCATTTCTCATTACCTTCCATGATGATATCAGGTTTGATTTGTTCCCCAGGGAAGGATTTTCTCCTTCCACCTCATTACCGCTCTTCTCCTTAATCTGATGTTCCTATTTGAAATGCCAGCCGGCATTTTAAGAAATGTTCTTGACAATGGTTAATTATAGAAGAGTCCATCAAACTGCACAGATACAGGTCATGTAAAGACTGCTGGGGATTTGTCCTGCTCTCAGAAGGAGCAGCTAGCATTGTCCCTGTCCTCCCAGGTTTGAAGGGGCTCCACCAGCCCACTGCCACCCGCATGTGGGGTCATTCATCTCCCCCTGCACAGCTAGACAGTCCTAATGGAAGATGAAACTGAAATACTTTGGTCATGGCAGCTTCTTATCCCTCACTGCAACTCACTTGTGAAGTGCCTGTGACCCATCAAAGTGGGAGCTAGGCTTCTTCTGATCCTTGCCTCCCAAGCACTTACAAGAGGATGAGACAGGCTGAGCTGCAGCAACTCCTGTGTCCCTCTAAAGAACAGCAATGTGCTCATAAAAATCATGCTCTCAGCACGGACACCTCCTGAGCTCAAGCCTACAAGAGGTCAACAGCAATCAGCTCTGCATGTCACTGCTGCTGCTCCTTACAGCAGCAGCTCTGCAGTTTAAGCTTCTCCCTGAAGCAGAGAAGTTTGTGCATCGTTTACTCCATCACCACGAAGATGACTTGATCCTCCCAGCCTGGTACCTGGGGCAAGAATGAGGTTTTCAGTGGCTGGGTTTCTTCCACGCACAGCTTGCTCTGCGGTGGTAGTCAGGGACTCCCCACTTTGCTCGGATGCCAGTATTACATAAAGTGCAGGACCAGAAGAACCAGGGCAAGAACAACTTTCTGTTTAAAGGAAAGGAGTGTGTATGGTGTTACGCACAACATAAACAATGACAGATCAGTCTCCGTGCAACTGCTGCACAGCCAACAGATATTTGAAAGCTATTCATTTACACGGAATGGAAGCTTATTTTGATCCTTTTCTGACCTAGCAAGGACCACAGTGGAGACAAAAACAAAGCCTTTTGCAGGAAAACCTTTTCAGAGTGAAAAGGGTGCAGTAACCATCATCTGCATCTCTTATCCCATCACAGAGGAAAAACATAATCACTTGAACCTAACATTTTAAGTATCAGTCTCGGTGAC